GATAATCCTTTATTTATCCACAGTGGGGAAATTTACATAAGGGTGGTGCCTCGGATTAGCTCTTCCAGGCGATGGTGAATGGACTTGATCTTGGAAAGCGTTTTTCTAGTTTCTGACTACTGAAAGCACTTTTACACCGCATGTCACACCTACCCATTCACACACTGATGGTAGTGGTCGCTATGTAGTGAGACCATCAGAAGTAACTAATCCCATTCACACACCCGCCGACAAACAGCGGGAGCAATTTGGGATTAAGTCTTGCCAAGGACACATCGGACAAGTTGCTGCAGGGATCAAACCCTCAACCTTCCGATTGGGAGACGACGACTCTACCAACTGAGCCACAGCCGCCCCCAGAAAGTTGGCTGGCTCCCTTTTCTGCCGCTTCATATGGGTTTTTGTTGAACCTTTCTTAGTCTTGGTCCCTATTCCGTAGTGCACCAGTTTGGACCGCACAATTCGAAAAGGTTTGAATACACTAAAACGGGTGTTTAACTCTCTAGAATTATTAGTGAAAACAGAGTAGGTGTGTCTTTTAAACAAAGCAGAAAGTCAAAAATAAATTATTGATCTAAGCATTTTACTTTTCAGATGATTACCAAGGCACTTCCCATGCACCAGGTAAGACATTTTAAGTAATCATTCTTTATGTGTTTGGAAGAACAACTCTATCTTTCTTACTGTCAGCATCACTGTTCGAGACGAGATGCTGAAAAAAAGGGAAATGATCAATATTAGATTTGGGGAATACATTATATCCGGTATTTTCACTGCTCTGCATTGTGGTAAGACAGTCCTCTCCTATGGCCCTGAGTCTTTTTCAACAGTCCAACATTTAGATCTTAACAGCCTTCGCACTGTGTTACACTATAATGGCTGTTAAGATCAGAAAGACAAGAAAAAAAATGACCACCATATTTATTTGTGATGTACTGTCGAGTGATATTGGCCATAGAAAATCAAAATCAACACTAGTTAAGTCTGCAGTGGACAATCCAAACTCTTGCTCTAAGGTGGGCCATTTGTGTGTTTTATTTTTTTTTAATACACACTTAAAAGGGAATTTGAAAATAGTGTTGATAAATTGTAGAGGTGGGGAAAAAAATCGATACATTATAGTATCACCATATTTTGCGTGCTGATATATCATGTCATGGCAGCTAAGTATAGATATTTTTGATATATCAACAGTAAATATGCTTTTTTAATTGTTGGAGGCGACAATTTATTTTGAACAAGTTGCATTGTTAAAAATGTCTGTAATTGTTCAGTCGTTTATACATGTTTAAATTCAGTAAAGTTTGATTTGACTGAAACACAAACAGTTCAGATTGTGAGGTGCATGCAGCCTTTAACAGGGTTTTACTTTTATCACAGAAATATGCCATGAAATTGAAATGTGCCATGTCACAACTAGATAAGACAAATCCTCCAGAGCAAATTATATTTCTTTATTATCATGTAGTATTATCGGCGTGGTCACTACCTGGAGTCTGCATAAATAGAGCCTAGCACTGTGTCTGAACTGTTAATGATTATTATTTGTTCTTATCTTACTCTGTTATCCTTTTTTTACACCGATTTTCTTTGAATGAAACCTTTACCCCCTAATTACTTTGTAATACTTTTTTGCAATTTAAAAAAAAAACGTTTTATTTGATGCTCTTCGTGTTGCCCTTTTGTGTGCTGTTCTGTTAGAGCAACCTGGCACAAGAGTTTACTTCATGATCGAAGTTCTTTTTTATGTTCATATTTTTACCAGAAACATTTATGTAGCTTATTTCGCAAAAGAGTTTCACTTTATAATTTGCCGATAGAGAATGAATGCCAAAACTATACAGTTAACATAAATAAACCCACACTCAGCCCAGTTTGAAAACTACAGACCGGTTTCACTTCTGCCCTATCTGTCAAATGTAATCTAGCGCACAGTCTTTAATCAGGTCTCTGAGTTTCTATCCACAAATGATCTATTTGACCCAAATCAGTCAGGTTTTAAACGGGGCCACTCTACTGAGACTGCATTACTGCCCGTAACAGAATCGCTACGAGCGGCTATAGCTGCGGGATGGTCCTCTGTTCTACTGCTAGACCTGTCTGCTGCCTTTGACACAGCTAACCATCGAATCCTCCTATCCACGCTCTCTGAACTTGGCATCTCAGCATCTGCCCTCTGCTGGTTCGTGTCCTACCTCTCAAGGAGATCTTTTAGAGTATCTTGAAAGGGAGAAGTGTCAGAATCACACAATTTATCAACAGGGGTGCCCCAAGGGTCAGTGCTGGTTCCCCTTCTCTTCTCCATATACACAAGCTCACTTGGTTCAATAATCCGCTCTCATGGCTTCTCATACCACTGCTATGCTGACAATACCCAGCTCTCTTCCTGTCATGCCTTGCTGATATCTCTACATGGATGAATGAACGGCACCTTTAACTCAACCGTTCAAAGTCTGAGCTCCTTGTCATCCCAGCCAGTCCCTCTATGCAACCACAGATCAATATCCAACTTGGTACAACCAAACTCATTCCCGCAAAGTCTGCCCGGAAGCTGGGTGTCGTGATTGATGACCAGCTAACATTTAAGGTTCAAGTGGCCTCGATTGCCCGGACATGTCGATTCGCCCCAGGGTTGTAAGACGCTAACTAGACTCTTCTCCTCTGTCGCCCCCCGGTGGTGGAATTTTATTTGCAGAGTCCCTTTGCACCCAGCTCTTTATGAACACCTACGACCTTAATGATATTATTGATGTCGATAATGATGATAATGACAATGACAATGATTTTGTTTGGTAATTACATTATTTAGGCTGGTTTGATGCTGATTTGCACTCTCACGAAGAGTTGTCGGCACCTGTGTGTCTGATCAGACTTTAAGCTGTTTGTTCGCTTTTACTTACGTTTTTTCCTCCTTTTCTAGATCCTTGCTTGTGTTGTACTTATTCTCTGATGTTTGTCGCTTTGGATAAAAGTGTGCTAAATGAATTGTAGAATAAATCCACAGAAACGCAATGACATTTTGAATGTTAATTTCTGATGATCATATTTTTATCACTTTGCAATTCACACTTTCATTTTGTGATTCTAAAAGAATCTGACATCGCCAGATATGAAAGTAAATCATTTCATTTTTGTCTCCCCTTCAGAGGTGCACTTTGTGGATAAACACCAGTGTGACCTGAAAGCAAGGGTGAACAATATTGGACCAATATTGGATAAGCTACTGGAAAAAGGTGTAATCCGTCAAGAAGTTTATGATAAAATAAGAGATACCCCAACCACTCAGGATAAGATGAGGAAGCTCTATCGTGGTCCCCTAAGAGCTGGAGGACAAAAAGCAAAAGACGTCTTCTACCAAATCCTTGAGGAGGAGGAGTCATATCTTGTGGATGATCTCAAAAGGAAGGAGTCTGGAGCGGGAGCAATCTGGAATTAAGTGTCTTGCCCAAGTACTCATCGGACATGTTGCTCAGGAGCTGCGGATCGAACCGGTTGAGAGAAGACCGTCTTTACCAATGAACCACATTCAGGAAAAGAAAAGTGTTTTTTGCCAGTGACCAAAAGACTGCATATCACATTTCAATACAAGGCTTCAGATTTAATTAAGGACATACAATGAAAGATGGCTGAGTTATCTTTCAGAAAACTGAAGCTATAATCAGCTGTCTCTCCGCAAACACAGCAAGACTCCTTCATACTAAAAAAAAAGTATATTCAAATGTAGTGTTGTAGTCATGACCGCTCTAACCGAGACCAAGAAATACCCGAGACGAGAATACTCCGAGACCGAGAAGAACAAGACATTTAAGGATCGAGACTGAGTCCATAACCAAGACCAAGGCAGGTCGAGACCGAGACAAGAACTCGACCATAAATATCAATGAAAAATCATTATCTTGTGTGCAGGGGGACATGCCACTAATTTAGACCGTTACACTGGGAAGGTCTGGAGTCCGCCTTGTCTGATACCGAGACAAGACCGAGCCAAAATGCTTGCGATTCCTACACGAGATCAAGACCTCTACCGTTCAAGTAATACAACACTGTTCATATGTATATCCACATTTTAACCTTCCACGATTCTGCATATAGAACCTTGTTTTTAAAATTTTTGGAACAAATAATAATTTTTTTAATGAAGTCTATTTTCTTGCATTTCTCGTGTGCCAACATGAAAGTTAGAATCTGTAGAGGAGAAGATGGTACTCTTCTGCAAAATGCTGTCGAAAAATGTTTCTGTGATACCTATTGTAGGACCGAACGTCCAGTCAACCTGTACAAACAATTATTTTCATACACAAAGATATGTGACATATTGTTTGAATAGTTTGACTCCCTGGGCATTTATCAAAAAAAAAAATAACCTTGGGACACCTAATATAGTCTAATCTGAACTGTTGCCCTACATCATATAGGCTACTTACTTTTCAATTGATGGTAATCTGATTGTAATGTGTGCTGCTCATTTATTTGTTTCATTTTTACGAGAAGAGGATATTATGCAAAATAAGCTCTTCTCAAACGTGTGTGTGCACAATTTGTATTTTATTTTGTTTTATTACTTTTATTTTACCCATATTAAATTAGTATTAAATTGATATTAAAATTAAATTGATCACAAGACATTTGAAAATAAACTGCTCACAAAAACCAAGGGAACACTTAAATCACAAATCAGATGTTGGTGAACGAATTGTTTAAGTGGAACATCTTCAGTGACATAGCCTATACGTTGTATGATTTGTTAGGAACAAATTGACGTAGCTAACGAGGGTCAATTGAAACCAAAATCTTCAACCCATTGAGGGCTGGATTCCAAATCACAGCGAAAGTAAAAACTACTGAAATCCCAGCCTTATCCAACTTTCATCACAACATCTCTTAATTTGACTCAGTCTGTATAAACTGTATGCACTCCTGACAATGTCTGGACATCCTCCTGATGAGTCGTCGGATGGTGTCCTGGGGGATCTCCTCCCAGACCCCCAGGTGTTGATCAGTCATAGTTGCTGCATGGCCGACGGAGAGCAGCACTGCTAAAAGAAACAACTCTTAACTGGATCTTTTAAAATATACAATGAATTAATTAATGACAAATTTTAAAGAAACAGAAATAAAGAGAAAATATAAAGAATTTAGGTACTTATCCAGTTTTTGCTTTCCCTGTCTTGCTTGTTTTATACTCCGGTCCAATAGGTCCGGTGGCGGTAATGCGCCTTTAAGCTGGTTTCCTACCGCCATTAAACCCAACAGTGGAAGAAGACGAGCAGAAGAAGAAAAAGGGGCAGCTCCTATTCACATGTAGGTCATTGAACGTTAAGCAGTATTATTTAATGTCTTAAAATCATACATGTGCTCTCACTTTCATTCAGCTCATGTTGTTTGATACCGTTACATTGTTGGTTTTTATAATTATAAAGTTTAAGTAAACGTGGCAGCGTCACTAAGCTGGTAGCAGTGAAACAGCCTTCAAACTGAACATATGTTTATGTTTTAATTTGTGGCTCCTGATGACCAAATTGCACTCACCCTGTCTGTTAAAAAAAATGCATATTAAAGCAGAAGCAGCACCGAATATGTGAAAGTTACTCGTTGCTGAGTTAGCTTTGTTTTTATCTTTGTTATGGACCTGTCATTACTCTGCTACACAGCTGATCTGAACTCCACATGAGCCACTGCCTGACCATAGACTGTAAATATTACTGGACGAACCCTGACCCGTCTGTTACATAGGCAGAAAATGAGTCCAATCAACGGCCGCATCCATATTGGATTTGCAGTCTCAACCTAACTTCGGATCAACCTAGCTACAGCAGTAAGGCGGGACCGGCGGGACTTAGCTCCACCCATTCAGCTCGACGTTAGCAGTCTACTTGACAGCATAGCTAACAGCTAGGCTGCTATCATCCCCTATTCCTGCTCGTCCTGAGAAAACTCTATAAACAGTAAGTTAACATTTAACTTTTCTACAACACAGTTAAAACTAATTATATTCAACACAAATATTTAATTAAAGTCTTAAAACTACACTTTTTTAAATATACAATCATGGTTATTAGTTATTTGTTAGAGAAGTTAGACTTTGTCAGTGTTAGCAGAGAAATACATTAACAAAGTTTTATCCATAAACTGTAAATAAATGAGACATCCAGAAGAAATCAATATTACAAAGCATATAGTTCATGTTACTGTTCTGACAAAAAGAGGAATGTCTGTGTTTTATATTTACTGATGTCAACAGCGATGAGGTGAACATGACAATTGAAATATAATTATTTAGTATTTATTATAAGACATTTGTTTTCTATTGAACCCCGTGAAGTCATGGAGTCTGTGGACAGTGTCAGCTTCACACCAAAAACTAAGTATTAGAAAAAAAAAGTGTTTAAGACTGGCATCTATTATTATGAGTTGCAGCTACCTTGTTCAATATTATTCCTGCAGATGTGGCTCATAATAAAAAAACAGCCTGAGCTGTCACATGTAGTTAACTGTACATTTTGTCTTGTCTGAGGCATTAATTGAACACCTTTGTATTTCTCCTATAGACACAGTGTGGATTATTGGGGACTGGTCCGTCGAGGTGCCCAGAGAGCTGCAGAGACAGAGGAAGAAACCTGAGCCTCAAGAACATCTGCATTTGTTGGTTCTTCTGGGGTGGACTTCGGTTACTTCTCTTCAACAGCTCGCTGTGAGGGAGGTCTCCCCCGGATGGCCTGAGTGATGTCACCCACAGACTGAGAGCTGAGACGGGTTTTAAGCCTCTTGACAAACCGTTACCCCGCACCCGCCTGTCAAGCTGGTCAGCTACACGCCTTATTGTGAATAACTCTTATCCTTCATCAAATCAAAACTGATGAGTCATCAAAACATTCACCCCCCCGTACAGTGTGTGTCCATCGAGACATGAGCTAATCACACCTATTTGTTTGTTTTGTACCAAGCTGTAAACATGTTCATCTCTGCTGTAAAAACAGATTTTTTTAATGTTGTTTTTCAGATTAAATAAATATTTCTATATAAATAGACTCCTTTATGTCTACTTATGAGTATACATTTCAGATTTGAAATGACAAGACTAAAATGTGCATTAATGCTCAACTCAATAGCTTAGGGAAGGAAGTCTACTTTTACACAACCTTTTATTCTTTTGATAAATACTAATGCAGTTCATTTCTTAAAATGGGATGGAACAGAGTCATTGCAAAATGATGACCTTAAACACAGCCCCATTCTTAAATCAAGATACATGGAGAGTAAATAAGATCAATAACTTGTGAATAAAAACACAGTTAAAAATGATTTAGAAATGTAGTCTTCCCAGATCAATATCACATAATATCAACTTCTCCCATCTAAACTGGACAAAGGGTTTTAAAATGGGAAGAAAATAGTTTGATTGCAAGTTGTTTGGAGGAGATCTATTTTTATTTGAACAGCATGAATACAGTCTTCCAAGGTGCAAACCCTCCTCCTCCTCCTGAAGCCTGTGGAGCTCGTTGATGTACTGCTGTCTTATCTGCTGGCCATCTTCTCTCAGCAGAACTTCGACTGTTGAAAAGTCATTCAGAAGAAGCTCGAGCATGTGACATGGATCCAGGAGAACATGGACTTTTAGTGAGAGGTCTTCAGGATGGCAAAGAAAGAGAGAAAATATCAGTTATTCATTAAATCATTTTGTTTGTTCTCATCTATTTTTCTGTATTCATCTGTGTGTAAGAGCACATTTATAAATTCAACAGTGTACTACCCAGACAACAAAGGTACAGTATTCAGGTAATCAACATCTATTCAAAGTTAAGAAGATAAACCTTATTGTAATCATGCTGTTTTCAGCTCTCTCACTCACACAATGATATTCCACATCAATTGTCTCAGATTTTGGTGAGGAAAAATTAAGCAGTTTATTGTGGATAGTACTTCATCTTAACATGAAACAAATATAACCTGAATTATTTAAATCATTAACAGGTCCCAACTCTCTGTGTTTTAGTACAGAACATACAGTAACTCATTTATTATTAACATGAGCTCAGTACATGGCTGTACTCTTCAAACTATTTCTTATACTTTATATCTATGTGCTTTAAATCTTATTTTCATACATATTTCATATGTTATTGATATTTCTACTGCTATATTCTGTGTATGAGTTCAGTGAAAATTAATATGGTTATTAATATAGTTCTTAATGGTTACAGATGCTCTTACAAAGTGCATTTTTTTTTATTTGTTAACAGTTTGCTCAAATCTTAAGACACTACATCAACCATGTAACTTTAATGTCATCCTCTATAACCTACACAGCACATTAGGTTCAGTTCAGTTTATGTTACTGACGGATAATTACTACACAAAGTTTGTTTTTTAATGTCCACATTTAGGTGAAAGTATAACATTCATCATAACGTCAGATAACCACCGAGGTGAACCTTTAGCTTCTAACATCACACAAACTCATTATTTTCAACAACAACATCTTAACAACAAACATTTCTAAACCATTGACCGTAAATAATGTAAATAATATAAATAATGTAAATAATGAGCTACACTGAGTACAGTTAGCCGACTGGTTTACAAGCTAACGCTAAACAAGCTAGGTCCGTAAATATAAATACGAGTAAGCAGTAAATATAACACTACTATATCTCTTACCGAAAAAAACTGAAGCATCAACTTGTTGGATGGTCTGTTAACCGCACAGCAAGCCATGTATGTTGTCAGATATGTGTTAAACAAACTCTCCAAACGAAGTAAGAAAGAGGAGAAATCAGACGGATCAAGCTGTTAGCCTCCTGACCTGCTGACCGCGCAGAGCTGTCAATCAAATCTGACACAACCAAATATGGGCATAGTCGTTTTCCTTAATAGAATAAAATCCGATGAGTTATAAAAAAATTCCCCCCCCCCCCACAGTGTGAGGAGAAGGGGCCGTCAACTTCTCAGATATATCTCGTTTTTTGAACCAGGCTGTAAACATGTTGATTCCTGTGGTAAAAACGGGCTTTTTTGGCTGTGGGCTTATGGCACTTCCGGCGCTTCTGCAGCCAGCCTCAAGCGGAACCTCGAGGAACTGCAGTTTTTTGTACTTCCGCATAGGCTTCATTTTTCGAGACCGGAGGTTGCCCCTTGGTTCAGACGTTGATAAAATAATACTCACCTTGTTTCTGTCTTTCCACGCATCAAAATGTTTTTAGTAATTATCAACTCTTAAAAAAAGAACAAGTTTAAAGCCCAGTCACATGTCTACCTTTTGCTCATCTATTACCAGGATGTCGAAAATAGCCCTGTGCTGCGTAGCTTTTGGGTAGGATACGTCTCAGTTCCATTAATTGCCTCCTCCTCTGAGTCCCTCCAACCAGAGATGCGCGGAGAGATGCAAGGAAATGAAGCAGAGGCGAGAGGAAATATGTTTTAAGAGCTATGATATCCCTGCTGTTTACAGTCTATGGTCCATCCCACCTTAGTGACGATGACATCAGCTGATCATGTTCAGCTGTCAGTCAGCTTTAACAGCTGTTTGTGTCTGCACAAATACGCACTGTGTTATTTCTAATGAAATACAAACACAGTAATAGTGTTTAGTCTCTTTATTTTACCTGATAACACAAACAACCTGCAGTCTGCTTAAAACCATGAGGACAATTTCTACATGCAAAAAGCTTTAATATTGAATTGTCCATTGATGAGGCCTATTTGTGGGCTTTTTACTGATAATCCGATAATGAACTCTGTATTTTATAAACACAAATACTTTAAAATGTCCTAGGAACACTAAAAATGATTTATTAGGTTCTAAATTATGGGGAAATCAGAACACATAACATTTTTCCAAACACGAAGATCATTAATGATCTTATATGAAACTTTATTAATGTAAATAATGATTAATGTAAAACGTGTTTCTTTGTCTCTATTTATCTAACAAAGCCCCTTTGCTCCTCAAAACCAACCTCCAGTTTACTGATCGCTTATAAACAAATAACAGCTGTTAAAAATGTGAAAGGTAGATGCGTGTGCAGTACACTCTTACGTCACATGAATGAACGAATACATCTTGTTATTCATAGTTGGTGTACATACCACTGTATACATGTTTGTAGTTTTAAAACTGTATTTGAAAAAGTTAAAATTTGAATATTTTCTTTCTTACAACATCCAACTTTACCACAATATGACTGTAAGGACTTGAACTTCTCTGAAGAGATACGGAAACAATCAATATTTAGATGAAAATATATATATTTTTTTACTTAATTCTAATAATTCTACATCACTGTATTTACTTTACAATTTTAACGTTTCAATGAAGCAGACATTTTTAAACACCATCCAAATATAACAGTATCCTTGTAGGGTAAAAAAGTTATAATTAATATCATGACGTAGCATGGTCCGAATCCCACCAAACTTTCAGCGAGTCTTTAGTTCCCGCTGTTGATTGGGAGCTACACTGATCAGCAGCTTCGTAGGCCGAGTTAGGATTATTACATGGTCATTTAACTTTGATAATTCATAAAATCATAACGACCCAACGTATCGTCACCAAACTCATGGAGTTGATAGATATACATGCCGGGAACATCTAGTAAAACATTCAGAACGGTGTGCACCCTTTGCAAGAAACACACATCTGACTGGCTTAGCGAAACTGGCAGCAGCTTTTCATGAGGTAGAGACGAGTCAACAGTAAATTTCAGCTCTGTACTCTATTCCCCGACTGTGTTATGATATTATGGTGTTTATGAAAATGTATTTAAAAAAAGACTTGGAAAAACAATCTTTTAGCATTTGGCAGAATTCATATAATTCGGTTTTAATTCACATCAATTAATGAGGTTAAAAAAGGAGAGCTCTTCAATTATAAATTGTGTTCATTATTTTTGCATGATCATCATATTTGCTGAATCTGGTCAAAAGTCAAATAGGAAACCCACATAGAGACATAACATTGCAATGAATATTTCCCAATTATTCATGTATTAAAAACTGGTTTTGGTCTAAAAAAGATTTCACCCCAACATTTAGTGCTTTGTATTGAGGTCTTCAATGAGAAATTTCTCATTTTCCAGAAGGATTTGGTAGAAGATATCTTTGCTAGCAGCACCAGCTTGCAGGCAACCGCAGTAGAGCTCTCTCATCTTCTTCTGAGAGGTCGGCAGAGCTCTGATTATTTTGTAAGCCTCACGCTGGAGGACACCTCTATCGAGGAGCCGATCCAGAATGGGATCCATGTGGCTCACTCTGTTGGTGAGCTGGAATTCATATTTATCCACAAAGTGTTTGTCTGAGAGAAAGGAGAAAAAAAATAATCAAGGACTGTTTGTAGTTTGAGATAACATAAAGCCAACTTGATAACTTTAGTCTGCAGAAAATAGTTGGCATATTCTAAAAACCCCAAAATAAGCCAACATGGAGGTGCATTAGACATGCATTCTTTGTAATGGCCAGCAGGGGCCGACTTCAAGATCAAGATCAAGATTTACTTTATCTTCCCCAAAGGGAAATAATTTTTGGACTCTGTCCTGCAGTTACAAGAGAGTGAAAATACATAAATATAGATCATACAAAACATAGAGCATTTCATGTAACAATTCCATATACATAAAAACACCTTCTTGCAGCAGTAACATTTGGCATATTGCACGGACCCTGGGCACATCCTACATTACCTGTCATTCAGAATATTAACGGACATTGGCACAAATGAATGTTTGTAACTGTTCAGCCGGGTCTGAGGGACCCTGAATCTTCACCCAGAGGGGAAAAGCTGAAACTCAGAGTGAAGAAAGAAGGTAGGATCAGACACTATTTTCTGTGCCTGACTTCACTTGTTGAAAAGAAAGAAAATGTATTGTTTAGAAGAAGAGAAAAGGGTCTCTCTCATTTCTATATTACAAGAGGAGCGATCTTATTCTGAAAGAGTGCTTTAAAAAGTATCATCTGTAATTACTGTTTGTGTGTAGATTACCTTTGATTATCTAGCATTACTTACACTTTCATATCCAACATATATCATAAAGAGAAAAAATACCACACTGTCTGTTTTATTCCAATATTGTGCAGCCCTACTTGTCAGCCAGTGAGCTGTAGATCTGCTGGAAGACAACTTTTTTTTAGCCATCAAGATGTTTGCCCTTACCTCCAGTCCTGATGCTAATCTAGCTGAAGCCAGCTCTACTTATATCATAGTGGTATAAATATTCTCATCTAACCCATAAAAATAATGCACATCTTTTCAACTCGTCAAAATATTCCTTTATACTCATTAGTAGCAATTATCAGCTTTCTGTTTCTTGAGCCTGAACTCTGTTTAGATCAGAAAAGTTTGGCTTGTTTGAAATATCCACCTCTGTGGTGAATTACAAAGTGACCTTTACAGTCAGATACTGAATGATATGATCCATGACTTCTTTCATGACAGCCTTATACGACGTGTCCTCCTACCATCTGATGTGGTATCTACACCAGCTGCTCCGGCTGAGGGTCTTGCAGCTAAAAACAAAAACAGAGAAAAGGATTGGATTGGTTTTAGACTCCCCCCCCCCTTCCCACAGGACAAACTGAAAACAGGAAAACAACTCACTGTCTCTGGTCCCGGGTTTTGAGTCAAGTCCAGCTATCACTGTAACTGCAATAAAAGGACACAGTGTCAGTATGTGATGGAAACAAAACAAGCATAACTGTGAGGTTTGTACATCTGTAGATGCAACGTGGATTATGCTATAGAGAGGTGAAGTCCCTTCTCTTCATGGTGGACCACCAGGACCAAATTAAGGACATTTATTTTAATTAACTTTTCATGGCAAGTCGATTGTTTTCATTTTTTAATTACCAATAAAGGAGTTTTCAAGATTTTAAAAGATGCTTCTTTGTTGGCCTTTTTAACCTTTATTGATAGGACAGCTGAAGAGACAGGAAATTTGCAGTCGACATGCATCGCAGGTCTGAGCTTTGGAGTTGAATCTGCAGTCGATTCCTCAAGGACTGTAGCCCATGGGGCGGCCTGCTCCCTCAACTGAGCTAAAGTGTCTTCCAAAGGGTTGTCGGTTTGAAGGTTCATTTCTTAATCTCATAAGGTTTGGAGTTCTACTGTAAACGTATTAGTCAGTGAAAATACATCAGTGGATTTCTAAGTTTTGGATGTTCACAGGATTTCTTTTTAAAGGTTTATTGTGGGCTTTTTGTGCCTGTATTGTAGAGACAGGACAGTGGAAAGAGTCGGAAATCAGGGAGAGAGAGAGAGTGGGGAATGACATGCGGGAAAGGAGGCAGAGGTCGGATTCAAGCCTGGGCCACTTGGACAGACTTCGACTCTGACTGAAATATCACATGTAATTCTTTACTGAAAATCCTATGCCTCCGTTTCTAAGAGGGAAATGAGAGCTACTGCTTGGAATGGAGGAAATCTCGTGGTGGTTAATCTTTATTATAGACGATCTTTGGTTAGTGGTCAGCGAAAGCAAAAGTAAAAAGGGAGCGGGCTCATTCAAAAAGGCTACTTTAATTTGTGCTATAAACTATACTATTTCAACTATATTTTGTATGATTGCACAAAAAAACATATCAATTTCTTAACGTTGTAGCCTAATTGTTGCTGATTTTTGTGATAATAGGCCACTTTGAATGTACTGCAAAGGAAGCCCGACCTCATTATGGGGCGCCGATTGTAAAGTTGCGCACATGTGACATACCGAAATGTGTTGTCACATTTTGTTATTGTATTTGGTTATTTTGTATGAATATTATACAAACGTATCTGTGTTTTGGTTAAAGTTATAGTTGCTGCGCTCTGCTTCAGTCTGGCAGAAGCGACAGAAGAGTGAACAACTACAGTCGACTCAGTGTGTTTTCTTTGTCTTTTACAGACATACTTTAAGCTGTAAGCAGGTTCCATCCCGTACCTGTTACACACACTACAAATAACAACAACATTTCTCCACATTTAGCCCTAAAAAAATCACTTTTTATTCACATCTAGAGAAATATTTGTGAACTTTGTCATATTTACTTTTGTGAATAAAAATGTAAGATAATTTCATTGGCAAATATAAATGTTAAATGTTTTATCTAAATGTTAAATGTTATATATAAATGTTAAAAATACATATCCTGATTCTAAATATTTAGCTACGTTTCTAAACATTTAGTTTACATTCTAAATATTTTGCTTTGATCCTATATATTTAGCTAAAATTGTAAATATTTATAATCAAAGCTAAATATATAGAATACAAACAAAATATTTAGCAACGACTTCTAAATATTTAGCTAAGACTCTAAATATTTAGCTAAGATTTCAGCTGGTAGAGTCGTCGCCTCTCAACCGGAAGGTCAAGGGTTTGATCCCCAGCTGAGCAACATGTCCGATGTGTCCTTGGGCAAGACACTTAATCTTGCATTGCTCCGGCTGCTTCAGTGGCAGTGTATGAATGGATTAGTGTTGTACTTACTCTCTGATGTACATCGCTTTGGATGCTTTGCGTCTGCTAAGTGATATGTAACATATAGAAATTGAGTGACTGTGATATACTTAGACCGAGAATTTTAGGTGAAAGCCAAAAGTGTGACAAAATACCCCGCTCTCCCCTACCTCGTTGTAAAGGTGACTAATCAGGCTTTCCAACTGATATATAATACAACAACAATAAGGGTGAAGTTAGCTAAAATGGGCCACATTTTGGTAAAAGATCTATAAGACCATCAAATAAGCTATGCATGAGATCTAATGATATTTTTATAAATTGGCATGGGTCTAATTATTTGTTAAAACAATGTGATTAAGTATAATTGTTTTTGAAATATCAGACTTGAGTATCAGCAGGGTCCGTCTTGAGATAAATCATGATGTTCAGGTATAATGGGCTAGTGCCTAAAATATCTTTTTTCACAAAAAATTAAGTTTCTTTGTAAATGTAAAGTTGTTTTATTTGAAAGAGCATGTAAAACGTAGTTCTTAACCATTTGCTTTGTTTGTAAGCTCACTTGTCATTGCATTACCTACCTTATTAGTAATTAGGCCTAATGAAATTTGTTGGCATGCAACCCTAAAAGAATGATTGCTAAGAATGGCTTACCTGGTGCATGGGAATTGCTTTGGTAATCATCTGAAAAGTAAAATGCTTAGATCAATAATTTATTTTTGATCTGCTGCTTTGTTTAAAAGCAGTCACCTACTCTGCATCAGTAATAATTCTAAGTAAAAAAACTGTTTTAATGTATTCAAACCTTCGTCAATTGTGCAGGTCCACACTGGTGTACTCTCTTTTTTTTTTGTAAGCTCGAGGGTGAAGTCTGTGTCTGGATTTCTTATACGTACTTGAAAGTACGGTGGATCGGTGAATTGATATTCGAGCTTGACTTCCTGTGGGGGAAAAATATGTTAAAGACATTGAAGTAATGTAGCACCAGATTTTTTAAAATTGCTATAATTTACGCATTTTTCAAAAAGGTGATATGTTCTTTTGAATGAAAAAGACATAAAAAGATAAATCTGCTGTATCTTGCTAAATATTGTTTAAATGCTAGGTATAAAACACACTCGTACTTTGTTGATCTTTTAATTCTGTTTGACACAAGGTGCCTATTACTTAGACTTGTCAACTGTGCGGAATGTGTGAATTAGCCATTCAAAAGTGAAGTGCTGTTGTTATCATCTATCTCTGTGGCATCAAGAATAAAGAAGACACTGCGGTGGGATTACTATGGTACACTGAAAGCGTCATAAAGCACACAATATAGATGATTACAACAAATTAATGCATTCAATTTGGACCTTAATCACATTGTGATTAACGCATTATTATTGACAACCCTACTTTTAAATTATTGTTCAATTTGACTTATCCAACAGTATCCAACTATTCAGAACCACAGTTCATAGATTTAAATGCAGCTCAAAACATACTTTGGGACAAATTGCTGCACCATCCATATCGGTTGATAGGATAAAACGATCCTTCATTCTCAAGTGCATATTTTCAGGTGGTTTTCGAATTTCTTTGTTTCCGTTGGTTGATTCAATCTTGAGAATTTCCTGTAGAAAAAAAACACAATAGAAAGTTGCAACAAAAGCTGATTTGTGATCATTTTTGGTACAATCATGATTTGAATCACTTATATTTATGAAATCAGGATAAGTAATAACCTGTCGAAGACCAGGATCACACGGGATCAGATAAACATTGAGCTTGAGGAATGCTTTGTTGATGTTAAATATCAACACGCTGCAGCGTGTTTTCACACGCGCACCAACTCTGATCAGAACCCCCTTTGGCGAGAAAACTGGTTCAGCTAACTTGACATGGCAAGGCGTGACCTCGGAAACTTGTTCCACAACATCACCACAGTCATCGATGTGGAGGACGGCAAACTCTCCTAATATGTCAGTGTTGCCGTCTGCACAAAATACAAATGCACACATAAGTGAAAAGAAATAATTGCATCAGTTTTTCTTTTAAATGATGTTAGTTGCTCAATTGTAAAGGTCACATATTATGCAAAATACACTTCACCATGTTTTCAGAACACTAATATGTGTCCATAGTCTGTCCAAAAACCCAATTATGAGAAAAGCCTGCTTCCCTTTTTTTAGAATATGTGTGCTCAAACAAGTCGTTTAGAGATTTCCCCTTATTGACATCACAAAGGGCAGTAACCCCTCCCCCAGGTGGGTGACACCCGGTGTTTGTTCTGCCCACTGAGTCTGCCCTAAACAATAGTCGTGGATTTTTTTGCAAGAAACTTCACAGGCATGTTTTGGGGACCTCTGAGACTTACCATATTTAAACTGGGTTAAAAGGAGGATAATATGTGACCTTTAAGTTATTTTCTATATTTCCACTCACCTATGCAGATCCAGTGTGGCAGGTACACTTCATCAAACTTTCCAGCAATGACTTTGATGTTCATTAGAGGACCTGCAGGCAAGTATTTCAAGCTTTCCATCCTCTCAATGTGTTCCTCCCAAGAGCAAAACTTGTACTGAAAGCTGACCTTATCCTTACAGATCCAGCGAATGCCGGAGACATTGCATTCAAAACCGTTTCCTACTTCACTCTGTAGGCTAAGTGACACAGAAAGACATCAATGAGTTTGTATATAACTGTACTGTAGTGTTTTAGGCACAAAAGGAGTAACAAAGAAAAGTATTTTTTTTCATTTGGTCAAAAAAAAAAATTCTCATTTGCTGTTGGTCAGTATTAAGGAAGATATTTGTACCTGTATGTAGGAGACTCATCTCCATCAGTACTGTTCACTTCAGGATCAAGTTTGGTCCAGTGACCAGAGTCCGGCTGAGAGAGACAATCATTTTATATTGGCAACAATGAATGAATAAATAAAATAAATACTGAATTAAAAAGAAACGGAACAAATGAATGATGGATGGGATTACCATTTCTTGTCCACAGTCGTCAGGCTCCACACAACCAAAAGGCCCTTGGAAAGACACAAAGGTTTCTTTAAAGTATGTTACTCAGACATATATTATCGAATAGTAACTTTACATCTCTTACATGTATCTCTTATTTTCTGCCGTCGGGTCGGGGTTATAGAACACTGACCTGGAAGAGGGCACGCTTCAAAAAGAGCTCTAAACAAGCTTCCACGCTGACTGACCCCTTCTTCTTATGTGTTTTTCTACCTGTGTTATATGTTTCTACTTACTGTTATATGTTTCTACTTACTGTTATATGTTCTCTTCATGTATAGCCTACCAACCGTCCAAAGCGGTGATATCAAATTTCCCCCCTGGGGGACAATAAAGTATTGTATTGTATTTTATAAAGGTAGTGATTAGGTTTTCATGTACAGTTATTGTTGCACGGTGGTGAAGTGGTTAGCGCTGTCGCCTCACAGCGAGAAGGTTCCTGGTTTGAATCTGTCTGACAGGAGTTTCTCTGTGTGGAGTTTGCATGTTCTCCCCGTGCATACGTGGGTTCTCTTCAGGTACTATGCTTCCTCCCACAGTCCAAACACATGCTCGTTAGGTTAATTGGTGACTCTAAATTGCCTGTAGACCAGTCATGGGTATACGCTATACCCTGAAGTTTATCTTCGGGAGCTATAGTGTTGCAAGACATTGTGCAGCTTATCTGGATGGATATACAATTATCAATAACTTGAATTAAGAAAATAAAACTTAATTTACACCTATGTCAACCAGTCAAGTTGCTGTTTAAATCAATCAGATTTTTCCAAAATGTGACAGTGTAACTGCTGCTGGGGCAGTGATTGTATATCAAAACATCGGTGCAGCATAAGAAGGCTTACAGTAGAGGGTCAATGAAACTATATTAGCAGAGAACTTCTCTTTGTATCTGTGTTTGTCTGCAGAGCATGTGAATGTCATTAAACCCTTCTAACAGCTGGAGAAAAAAAAACATGAAGAAAAAGGGTAGTGTGTTCAAAACTTTGGACCTACATTTTGAGAATTTGTACGCATGATGTTCTATCAGACTTTTTTTTTTTAAAACAACATCCCATCCCAACATAATCCCCTTTATCCATTGCTGTGATTTTGCTGTCATGAGAATGGGACTGATGTGAGGTGAGTGACCTTAACCTTTGATCACACTATTGCTTTATCCTAGTGGTTGTTTGTGCAAAGTTTAAAGATATTTACTCCAGACACTCTAGTTAAAAACATGGGACATTCAACAAACAAATGGACAGAAAAGCCTAAACACATGTTGCCTCTGTCCCCTGCTGATCAGCGTCACAGAAGCATTATAAAACTAAAAGAAGATAGAGGTTTAAAAATGCAGTCCAGGTTCTGTACACCTAATGTTTTATAGTCAAATAACACTTTTTTTTAAAACTTACCTTTAGATACTGAGCTGCTTTCTGACAACTTTCCGACCAGATCAGTCCTGTTCATCCTCTCTAAAATATCCTCAGTCACCTCCACACAGCGTTGGCCATAGATCTCCACCATCAGCTTCACTATCTCATCTTTGTCTGCGGTCTCCACTTGGTGTCTTGGGATTTTTGGGAGCCCTTCTTTCATTTTAGTGTAGAGCAAGGCATGTTTGAATTTCTCCAGGTCCCCTGAACCTAATTCTTCCAGTGTTTCTAAAAGCTGTGAATGGACCGATGTCATGGTTGATTCCTGCTTCATCAAAAAAGTAAGTAAATATTGTTAATTAAATAGTTAGAAATGAAAACTGTAGAGTGTCTGATGTAACATTACTCACATGTTGTGGATCTTTTTTCTGAAGTTTCTCTAAGGGGGGAGAGAAAAGGACTCATTAAAATCAGACAAAAAGCAGCTTTAGTCAGTTTTAGTCATTTTGTGAATAAAATATAACATGGCATCATCTCAATATCTTAAAAATGAATTAAAAATGTATAACTTATGTGGGTTGGATGTGCGGTATTTGGCAAAAAGTTAAACTTAAATGTACTCATTATTAACGTCACAAAAACCAGGAGGCTTGATTCAGCTCAACAATGTCTGTAGTCTTAGTATTTAATGAAGCATATATATTTGTGTAATGTGTCAGTTTTCATCCTCTTACTCTCAGTGTTGAATCCTGAGCTGGTCCTTGAGAGCGTCTTTAGCAGATCAGTCTTGTTCATTCTATGTAAAACGTTCTCGGTCAGCTCAACAGACTGTTGAGACAGTTGGCCATAGATGTCCACCATCAGCATCACTATACCATCTCTGCCTGCCTTCTTCACTTGTCGTTCTGGGGCTGGGAGGCCTTTTTCTTGGGCGATATGCAGCAGGTGATGCTTGAATAGCTCGTGCTCTTTATATCTTAAGCCTCTCAAAGTTTCCCAAAGTGTCCAATGAAGTGATGTTATGGTGGATTTCTGATGGAGTCAACATAATCAGAGAGCGTTTATGTGCTTCATCTCAACGGCAGACAAAACTTTAGTTCACTGGCATCAACATAAAGTTATGACAGTATTGTCACATCTACATTTCTGAGCTTTTAACCCCTTATGAACCAGGACTCAGTCTGAGATCCTCTGGCAGATCTCCGCTGGCTGTTCCAAGGTCCAGGCTGAAAACTAAAGGGGACAGGGCTTTTGTTGACAGAGCCCCCAGACTTTGGAACAGCCTGCCAGAGGAGATCAGACATGCAGAGTCAGTCCTTCGTTTTAATTCTCTACTTAAGACATTGTTTCACAAAAAAGCTTTTAATCTGTGGTTTCATTTTGAATTTTAATCTTTTATTCTATGAGTCTGCTTTTATTGTCTGTTTGTCTTACTGCCTGTCTGCTGCTTTTATATTCGGTTTGCTTTTATTGTCTGTCGTAAAGCACTTTGTTACCTGTATTGAAATGTGCCATACAAATAAAGTATTATTGTAAGTTTTGCAGTCAATAAGTAAAATGTATGTTTTGGTGAGAGCTGGAGATTGTGCTTCAATAATAGAAGTTCTTTTTGTGTTTATTTCATACTTTTCTTTCTGTTAGCATTACTGGAAATACTTTTAATTTGTTAGCATTCTTTGAGCTATTTGGAAGCTAAATGCATATTGTTTATGTTCATTTAGACAGCATGGTGTAAGAAAGCTGATGTGTGTATTTAGCATTTCTAATGTTTGAATGTGTAGCCAGACAGACAATTCCACAAATCCAGAATTCATAGATTCCTATCATTCAGATTAAAGGAACCTAAAACCCTGATGATTAACCCTTTCTTCAACCACCACACCACAGTTATAACTGACTCTCCACATTGACTTACACAAACCCATCAGAATCAGTATTCACTCTTTTTCAATTATTATTATTATTTCTCTGCATTTCTACAATTCACTTAGCATATGCATTTATCTCAAGCAACATACATCAGAGAGTAAGTAAAACACAAACAAGGATCTATAAAAAAGGAAACAATGTCAGTAAGAGCAAACAAACAGCTTTAAGTCTGATCAGACACACAGGTGCTGACAGGCAAAGCACAACCTCAACAGCTTATTGTAACAATAAATATCAAGCACATTAGTCACAGTGACACCATGATGATTTCAGATTTGAAGTTTACTGGAGTGACCAATTTTAACCAATCCAATATTGTCTAAAAAAGTCACTTGAGGGATGAATATGGAAGATATTTAGGATTCATGCTCAGCTCTAAGGATGAAACGATGTCCCACTGCATCCATATGCTAAATAATAGACAAATCTGGTATATTAAATAAAATCAGGCTCACCTCTGACAGGCTGCCAGGGTTGAAAACTATTCATTCACCTGCTACCATCACCTGGAGCACAGAATCAGCTCAGGCTCCACACGGTGTCCAGTAAAGGGATTACACACACACACACATACCCAAAGGAAAACTAAAGGGCAAAACATAAACCCACATTTTGGCTCCAACAATTTCTATAAAAACAAAGTATCCTTAAGTGTGTTCTTTTCGTAACATCATCACAACATAGTACTTTTATTGTCCTCCTTCTTTCCCATCTGCAGCTGAAAACCTTTTCCACCACTTTACTATCAAGATGAGAATAATTATGTTCATGTAACAATAAAATGAAATAAATGGAAACCTTGTTGTTTAATGTGTTTCTGATTTTACTTTACTCACTTGATGAGGCAGTTCAGGCTGATGTTTCTCTGAAGAGAAATAAAAAATAAAAAGTTAATAAATCTTCACAAACCTTAAAGGGCCATGCTTGACGTCAGCCTCAGATCAGAAATACAATATTTTATTATTTGACATAACAAAGGTCAGTGGCTAATGTTACAATTTTACAATTTCATTTAGCAGACGCAGACGAATAAATCTGGCATTAAACTGAAAAGTCCAGAGGTCTGTACTACGAAGCAGGATTTGGGGTTAGCGAGGTAACTTCAGGGTTAACCTTGGGTTTTCAGTCCTACGAAGGTGGTTCACTTCTAACCTGGGTATATCGCCACGGTAACCTATGCTGCACATCTAACCTGCTGTACACCTAAAAATCTCCGCCACTGAACAGTCAGATCTCTTGATCTTGGAGCTCCCGCAGCTGATCGAGAGAGCGGAGGAGGGAGAGAGACCGGCCAACACTTCATGTGTCCCGTATGATTTTACATTTGTCTTGAACTTCTTCTTATTTTTAATTTAGTTCAGAGTTTGTTGGATATAACGATCTGCTGACGGCAGACGCAGTGATGATTGTGATTGGTTAAATTAAGCTAACTCCGCCACTTTTATATGATTGGAATAATTAACCCACTGGTATAAAACAGGTTTGTTATCTTGTGTAAACAAAATAATTTATTTGTGATCTCGTTACTTTTGTTGTAATTGTGAAATATCAAATATCTTTAAACATAAATGTGTGTAATGTGGCAGTGTTTGTTTTCTTTCTCTCACCTTGAAGTCCTGAGTCTGTCCCCATCAGCCTCTCAACTAGATCAGTCCTGTTCATGTACAATAAAACCTCTTTGGTCACCTCCACAGGCTGCTGGTTCCTCACCATCAGATGCACCAGTTTATCTGGAGTTGTTGCCCACTCCATGTCGTGTCACTGGATTCGTGTAAAACTCCTCTGGAAGTATGTGAGCTGGAGCACCCACTTAAATTTCTCAAACTCCTCAAGTTTCAAACCACTCAATGTTTCCGAAAGAACATGTTCCACATCTTCCTTTACCGTCTAAAAATATCAAAGACAATAAACAAATTAATCATTTCTCCAATGGTAAAATCAAAAAGGAACATCTCTGGGGATTTAATCAGAGATGTAGGGAAGTTATCGGAATACTTTCTCCATGATCACTTGAGATTAATACAATAGGTAACATTTCTTTTATTGGCTATGTTAACAGGGTTTCTTCAAAAACACATTGTTCTTAATGTTTGTATTTTGCTGTAGCAACATAACATAGAAGATCCCCTCTATACCTTCACCCTTAAATCTCTGTTAAACTGAATACAACTACATGATTTAATGCAACATGTGAAATCTTCCACAGCACTTAACATGAAGCATTTCCTTTAAAACACCTGAAATACAGAACTCAAATACTACAGAGCTGAACTTTACAACCAATTATATCCATTTGTTTTGGTTTGTATCTTAATTTGCAATGTTCAAAGACTTGGATGTTTTTTAATCTGCATCAGACAAATCAGGCTGTGAAATGTAAAAAACAGACTCACTTTTTCAAAGACTGAAGGTTGATGCTCATCCACTGAGGAGAAAAGACATTTGTGACTACGACGACTTATTTTAATGAGACGTTGATCTACTTTAATAAAGTTCAGCTGCTTTACAAGGTAACAACATAACCTAAAGAAATCAAATTCAACAAATGTATTAATCTTATTTATCTAAGATTTGTTTTGTTCTTATTTGTCTTACCTTTGGGTTCTGAGCTAGTCTCTGAAAACATCTGCATGAGATCAACTCTGTGCAACTTTTTTAAAATCTCTCTGGTCTCATCCACAGACTGTCTCCCGTAGGTCTGCACCATCACATCCAATATTTCTGTACGCTCGTTTGAGTGTCTCGATAAATGTGGGATGTCTTTGGAGTCCTTTTGAAAGGCCAACTGCAGAAACATCTTGAATTTCCTGAGCTCCCCATTATTTAAAGAATGCAGGATTTCCAAAAGCAGCTCTTTAACAGCTGCCATTGTTGCTGCCTGGAATAGTTAACACACTCATGGGACATTTGCTTAATCAACTAGGACAATTTTAAATGTGTCTCTTAAGGTGTTGAGCTGGGTGTTTCTGACAGATATACTTTTTATTATATTGATTATTGTTGAAGGAAAAAGTCAGAAAAAGATTATGTGCTGACATTTCATCTCATAAGCACTGTCAAAGATATTTATGAATCTGCTGCACAACATTACTGCTAAAACACTCAACCTGAATAAAGTTTCAGCTTTGTGAAAAACAGATTAATTCAAATTTAATCAAATTTCATCAAAATGTTCATGTTCATGTGTAAATCAGACAGATGTGAAGTGATTACTCACTTTCTCCAACAGGACAGAGCGTGGTTCATCTGAGCGTTTCTCTGAGGAAAAAAGTGGAAAAAATAACTCATGAGAGATTGATCTTAAACATGACAAAGATGTTATCAGGCAAAATAGTTTAGTAATGATTTGTGAGGTACAACATAAGTCAAAAAGATATATTGGTAAACCAACTGATAAGTCTTAATATCTGTGCACTATGAATCTTATTATAAATCTTGTAACAGATACAGATGTAACTTAAACACTTGTGAAATAGGTTGAGAGACAGTTTTATGATTTTAAATGATCTTGGTCTTCATGGTCATACTTTTGAAACTTGAGCTGGTCTCCAACAACTTCTGCACCAGATCAGTTCTGTTCATCTTCCTTAAAATCTTCATCGTCTTCACAACAGAGTTTTGACCAAAAGTCAAAACTGTAACACACGCAGTGTCCTGATGGTTCGTCTGCCACAGCAAACGAGGGATGTATGATTTGTATGTTTTGTGGCCTTCATTTCTGATCAACTGCTTGAATTCCTCATACTGGTCTTCTGTTAGGCAAGCTATAATTTCCACAAGCAGTTCTATAACAGATGTCATCTTTTCCACCTGAAAAATTAAAAGAACATGTTCAAGGTGCAAATAATGAGTACAGATATTTCTTTTCACATTTCATCAATTGTCTTTTTTAAGACTGACCAACGTACATCTGCCACATGAACAGAGGTTATCATACTATAGTTATGTTTACATTCAAGTACTTTACTTTTTTTACAAACAGCTTATATTTCTGCATTGAGTAACATACGGTTGTTACATTTGATTTTCTTTTTTAAGATTTATTTTTGGGCTTTTTGTACCTTTAATAGATAGACAGGACAGTGGATAGAGTCAGAAATCAGGGAGAGAGAGAGAGTGGGGAATGAAGGAAAGGAGCCACAGGTCGGATTTGAACCTGGGTCGCCCACTTGGAGGACCAAAGCCTCCATACATAGGGCGCGCGCACTAACCACTGCGTCCCTACCTTTAATTTTCTATGAAGTTTTTGTTCAATTCTAATTCCATGGTGTACATGTGTCTAAATCTGTGCAATAAAAATCAGATAACTGTATGAATCTTCCAAGAGAGTGTCTGTTAAAGGGGCGGAGCAAGGGGTGGCCAGCCCAGGAGGGACCTATGTTTAAATCATCTTTTTGTGCTGATAGTAGTATGTGCACTTTCTTTGTATGTCAATGTAACACATTTCATTTTGCTAGTATTTTAAAAGCAGAAAATGCCATTTTTTTTGATCCAGCAGATGTCGCCTTTGAGCACCAGCATGAAACCAAAACAACTTGCGCTGCATTGTTGTGTTAGCATGCTAATGCTAGCGATTTTTATTATGATCGTATCTTCACACTGCATGTAAATTTACCTACGTGATCTAGAAACGTAGTTAAGCAGTGAGTACAGTATGTTATTCTTCTTTTCTCTAGTCCCTCAATTAAACAACTTTTATACGCGAGGGGATGAGTCGGCCGGCCGTCCCGGCGATGTAAACAAACTGAAGATAGGACTCGGAAAACATCACAGACAGCGGGACTCGGGTGTTACACCCATTGTAGACAGTCATGACTCACAGAGTTATTTTCAGAGGATTGATTTCTGCTACATTTAAGTGTGAAAAATTGCATATTAAGCCTTTTAAGGAAGAATGTGTGACATTTTACACATAAATACAGCAGAAATCAAGTATATCCTGTAAATGTCTGTTTGAGTTGTGACTGTCTGCAATGAGTGAGAAGCTCGAGTCCTGCTGGCTGTGTTGTTGTCAGGGTTGTGTTTACATCATGTTTACATGGACGGGACGGCCTTGTGCATAAAGCTGTTTAAGTCGAGGTCTAGAGAAAAGAAGAATAACATACTCACTGATTATTTGGATTTCAAGTAAGTGTGTTTAGTTCTCGGTCATTCTGTGTCAATTTATGTTTAATGTGAAGCTACGAGCTAAGTAAAGTGTGCTAACATTAGCCTGCTAACACAACAATGCAGGCCACAGGCAACTGCAGCTCGAGCAAAGGACAAGTTTGTCCGCCACTTGCACTTAGTGGTTGTTAATGCTTTGAATTGCCCCCGGGGACAAGTAATGTTTTTGGAATTTAATTCTTTTTTTTTTATGGTGCGTTCTAATTCCTAACCCCTTCATGGGAGGCGAGTGGAGAGGTGTCGTAGGTGTGCTGCTGGAGGAGAGCAGAGGATTCAGAATGGCAGAGATGTTGCCAAACAGCAGTTTGTTTTGGTTTAATGCTGGTGCTCAAGGACGACATCTACTGGATAAAGAAAGTCGCACATTCATCCTTTAAATTAGATCTTCCTTTTGAGTGCTTAGAGAAATAAACTAAGATTTAAATGTTTTAATCTCTTTTTAAAGTAAAATAAATAAATAAATATTCAGGAATATAACATCATATAACATGTGGAACTTAAATGTAAGGAGTTAAAGAAGATATGATTAGTGGAGATAGAAAGGGAAAATAAATGCTGTTTATTCAGAGAAAAGAAGAACAACACACTCACTGCTTATGTGGATTTCACCTAAGTGTCTTTAGATCACCTTCATTCTGTCAATTTATGTGCAGTATGAAGCTACGAGTTAACCAAAGTGTGCTAACATTAGCCTGCTAAAAACAATGCAGATTCGAAGATAGAATATTTAAATGTTTTAATGTCTTTTTAAAGTTAAATAAATAAATAAATATTCAGGAACATAACATCATATAACATGTGATACTTAAATGTAAGTAGTTAAAGAAGATATGATTAGTGGAGATATAAAGGGAAAATAAATGCTATTGATTCAGTGTACTTTGCTTTATCAGCTCTTTGAGAAAATATTGATTAAAACAGGTCAATGTTACTCAAAGGATCATATTTTTTATCAGCATTAAATAAATAACGTTAGTTTTTGTACCTTTAATTGAAATGTTCGAGGTGGACTCTATAATAGTGACGCTGTGTGAAGTCAGAGTGATGTGACATACTCACCCTCTGGGTCAGTGAAAGCGGCTCTTCATCCATAGAGTGTTCTTCTGAGGAAAAAATAAATGCAAAAGAAAACCAATTTTATTTCTATCCCACTTTCCAAACCCAACACAGATTCAGCAGACGGCTGTTCATCATGAGTCTGGTTCAGCTCGAGGTTTCTGCTCTTAAAGGATTTTTTTCCACTGTAACTTTGCTAATTCAATTCAATTGAAAAAACTTTATTTTATCCCCTGGGGACAATTCAAAGGCACACAGAGCAGTAAATGTTTCTTGGTGCTCGTGATGGATTAATGTTGGGCCTTTGTAGATAATATAACAAAGAGTAAGATATTTACCTGCTCTTTTTGTAAAGTGACGGTTTTGCTTTCCTCATTAATTGAAATATAGAACTTTTAAAATGCCTTGATTGTGTTGTGTGAAGACTTTGTGTTTGTCTCACCTTCAGACTCCCGTCTGTCGTCAAGCAATCTCTTCACGAGATCAGTCCTGTTCATCTTCTTTAGGATATTTCTGGTCAACTTCACACACTCCTCCTCGCTGTATCTCTTCACCATCAGCTCCTCTATTTTCTCTGGGCATATTGATTTTAGATGGAGTTCTGAGAGGAGGGGGACACCTTTCTCCAATTCAACATGTAGGCAGAAATCCTCAAGCTGCCCAGAACGCAAACGTTCCAATGTTTCAGACAGCATCCTACGTGTCGTCATTTTTTCAAGCTGGAAAACAAAAGATAACATCACAGAATATGCAGATTATGACGAGTGCCATTTACAGAAAGTACATATTTGATTGGATCCTTTTATTTCATTTCATAAATACCAGAGTTATTGACAAGTAGCATGTCATCACACTCTGATTAAACATTTTTAAAAATAGCTCTTTTTTTTTCACTAAAGAAAAAACATTTGAAACTTTTTGATGGCTCACTCAGTAGTTATTAATCAAAGGCTGCGGCCTTCAGATTTAAATCTTATTCATGACTTAAAATAACTTAAAGGTCACATATTATCCTCCTTTATACCCAGTTTAAATATGGTAAGTCTCAGAGGTCCCCAAAACATGCCTGTGAAGTTTCTTGCAAAAAAATCCACGACTATTGTTTAGGGCAGACTCAGCGGGCAGAACAAACACTGGGTGTCACCCACCTGGGGAAGGGGTTACTGCCCTTTGTGATGTCAACAAGGGGAAATCTCTAAACGACTTGTTTGAGCACACATATTCTAAAAAAAGGGAAGCAGGCAAAAGACGGAGAGGATGGACTTTTCTCATAATTGGGTTTTTGGACAGACTATGGACACATATTAGTGTTCTGAAAACATGGTGAAGTGTATTTTGCATAATATGTGACCTTTACAATTGAGCAACTAACATCATTTAAAAGAAAAACTGATGCAATTATTTCTTTTCACTTATGTGTGCATTTGTATTTTGTGCAGACGGCAACACTGACATATTAGGAGAGTTTGCCGTCCTCCACATCGATGACTGTGGTGATGTTGTGGAACAAGTTTCCGAGGTCACGCCTTGCCATGTCAAGTTAGCTGAACCAGTTTTCTCGCCAAAGGGGGTTCTGATCAAATTTGGTGCGCGTGTGAAAACACGCTGCAGCATGTTGATATTTAAGAAGAAAAATACATTCCTCAAGCTCAAAGTTTATCTGATCCCGTGTGATCCTGGTCTTCGACAGGTTATTACTTATCCTGATTTCATAAATATAAGTGATTCAAATCATGATTGTACCAAAAATGATCACAAATCAGCTTTTGTTGCAACTTTCTATTGTGTTTTTTTTCTACAGGAAATTCTCAAGATTGAAAAAAACTACAAAAACAAAGAAATTGAAGCACCACCTGAAAATATGCACTTGAGAATGAAGGATCACTTTATCCTATCAACCGATATGGATGGTGCAGTAATTCGTCCCAAAGTATGTTTTGAGCTGCATTTAAATCTATGAACTGTGGTTCTGAATAGTTGGATACCGTTGGATAAGTCAAATTAAACAATAATTTAAAAGTAGGGTTGTCAATAATAATGCGTTAATCACAATGTGATTAAGGTGCAAATTGAATGCATTAATTTGTTGTAATCATCTATATTGTGTGCTTTATGACGCTTTCAGAGTACCATAGTAATCCCACCGCAGCGTCTTCTTTATTCTTGATGCCACAGAGATAGATGATAACAACAGCACTTCACTTTTGAATGGCTAATTCACACATTCCGCACAGTTGACAAGTCTAAGTAATAGGCACCTTGTGTCAAACAGAATTAAAAGATCAACAAAGTACGAGTGTGTTTTATACCTAGCATTTAAACAATATTTAGCAAGATACAGCAGATTTATCTTTTTATGTCTTTTTGATTCAAAAGAACATATCACCTTTTTGAAAAATGCGTAAATTATAGCAATTTAAAAAAATCTGGTGCTACATTACTTCAATGTCTTTAACATATTTTTCCCCCACAGGAAGTCAAGCTCGAATATCAATTCACCGATCCACCGTACTTTCAAGTACGTATAAGAAATCCAGACACAGACTTCATCCTCAAGCTTACAAAAAAAAAAGAGAGTACACCAGTGTGGACCTGCACAATTGACGAAGGTTTGAATACATTAAAACTGTTTTTTTACTTAGAATTATTACTGATGCAGAGTAGGTGTCTGCTTTTAAACAAAGCAGCAGATCAAAAATAAATTATTGATGTAAGCATTTTACTTTTCACTTTTCAGATGATTACCAAAGCAATTCCCATGCACCAGGTAAGCCATTCTTAGCAATCATTCTTTTAGGGTTGCATGCCAACAAATTTCATTAGGCCTAATTACTAATAAGGTAGGTAATGCAATGACAAGTAAGCTTACAAACAAAGCAAATGGTTAAGAACTACGTTTTACATGCTCTTTCAAATAAAACAACTTTACATTTAAAAAGAAACTTAATTTTTTGTGAAAAAAGATATTTTAGGCACTAGCCCATTATACCTGAACATCATGATTTATCTCAAGACGGACCCTGCTGATACTCAAGTCTGATATTTCAAAAACAATTATACTTGGTCACATTGTTTTAACAAATAATTAGACCCATGCCAATTTATAAAAATATCATTAGATCTCATGCATAGCTTATTTGATGGCCTTATAGATCATTTTAGCTAACTTAACCCTTGTTGTTGTTGTATTATATATCAGTTGGAAAGCCTGATTAGTCACCTTTACAACGAGGTAGGGGAGAGCGGGGTATCTTGTCACACTTTTGGCTTTCACCTAAAATTCTCGGTCTAAGTATATCACAGTCACTCAATTTCTGTATGTTACATATCACTTAGCAGACGCAAAGCATCCAAAGCGATGTACATCAGAGAGTAAGTACAACACTAATCCATTCATACACTGCCACTGAAGCAGCGGGAGCAATGCAAGATTAAGTGTCTTGCCCAAGGACACATCGGACATGTTGCTCAGCTGGGGATCAAACCCTTGACCTTCCGGTTGAGAGGCGACGACTCTACCAGCTGAAATCTTAGCTAAATATTTAGAAATCAAAGCTAAATATTTAGAGTCTTAGCTAAATATTTAGAAGTCGTTGCTAAATATTTTGTTTGTATTCTATATATTTAGCTTTGATTATAAATATTTACAATTTTAGCTAAATATATAGGATCAAAGCAAAATATTTAGAATGTAAACTAAATGTTTAGAAACGTAGCTAAATATTTAGAATCAGGACATGTATTTTTAACATTTATATATAACATTTAACATTTAGATAAAACATTTAACATTTATATTTGCCAATGAAATTATCTTACATTTTTATTCACAAAAGTAAATATGACAATATGATATGATTTTTTTAGGGCTAAATGTGGAGAAATGTTGTTGTTATTTGTAGTGTGTGTAACAGGTACGGGATGGAACCTGCTTACAGCTTAAAGTATGTCTGTAAAAGACAAAGAAAACACACTGAGTCGACTGTAGTTGTTCACTCTTCTGTCGCTTCTGCCAGACTGAAGCAGAGCGCAGCAACTATAACTTTAACCAAAACACAGATACGTTTGTATAATATTCATACAAAATAACCAAATACAATAACAAAATGTGACAACACATTTTGGTGTGTCACATGTGCGCAACTTTACAATCGGCGCCCTATAATGAGGTCGGGCTTCCTTTGCAGGACATTCAAAGTGGCCTATTATCACAAAAATCAGCAACAATTAGGCTACAACGTTAAGAAATTGATATGTTTTTTTGTGCAATCATAAAATATGTAGTTGAAATAGTATAGTTTATAGCACAAATTAAAGTAGCCTTTTTGAACGAGCCCGCTCCCTTTTTACTTTTGCTTTCGCTGACCACTAACCAAAGATCGTCTATAATAAAGATTAACCACCACGAGATTTCCTCCATTCCAAGCAGTAGCTCTCATTTCCCTCTTAGAAACGGAGGGATAGGATTTTCAGTAAAGAATTACATGTGATATTTCAGTCAGAGTCGAAGGCTTGAATCCGACCTCTGCCTCCTTTCCCGCATGTTATTCCCCACTCTCTCTCTCTCCCTGATTTCCGACTCTTTCCACTGTCCTGTCTCTACAATAAAGGCACAAAAATCCCACAATAAACCTGTAAAAAGAAATCCTGTGAACATCCAAAACTTAGAAATCCACTGATGTATTTTCACTGACTAATACGTTAACAGTAGAACTCCAAACCTTATGAGATTGAGAAATGAACGTTCAAACCGACAACCCTTTGGAAGACACTTTAGCTCAGTTGAGGGAGCAGGCCGCCCCATGGGCTACAGTCCTTGAGGAATCGACTGCAGATTCAACTCCAAAGCTCAGACCTGCGATGCATGTCGACTGCAAATTTCCTGTCTCTTCAGCTGTCCTATCAATAAAGGTTAAAAAGGCCAACAAAGAAATATCTTCACAGTCTAAAACCAATCCAATCCTTTTCTCTGTTTTTGTTTTTAGCTGCAAGACCCTCAGCCGGAGCAGCTGGTGTAGATACCACATCAGATGGTAGGAGGACACGTCGTATAAGGCTGTCATAAAAGAAGTCATGGATCATATCATTCAGTAGCTGACTGTAAAGGTCACTTTGTAATTCACCACAGAGGTGGATATTTCAAACAAGCCAAACTTTTCTGATCTAAACAGAGTTCAGGCTCAAGAAACAGAAAGCTGATAATTGCTACTAATGAGTATAAAGGAATATTTTGACGAGTTGAAAAGATGTGCATTATTTTTATGGGTTAGATGAGAATATTTATACCACTATGATATAAGTAGAGTTGGCTTCAGCTAGATTAGCATCAGGACTGGAGGTAAGGGCAAACATCTTGATGGCTAAAAAAAAGCTGTCTTCCAGCAGATCTACAGCTCACTGGCTGACAAGTAGGGCTGCACAATATTGGAATAAAACAGACAGTGTGGTATTTTTTCTCTTTATGATATATGTTGGATATGAAAGTGTAAGTAATGCTAGATAATCAAAGGTAATCTACACACAAACAGTAATTACAGATGATACTTTTTAAAGCACTCTTTAAGAATAAGATCGCTCCTCTTGTAATATAGAAATGAGAGAGACCCTTTTCTCTGAGACTTCTAAACAATACATTTTCTTTCTTTTCAACAAGTGAAGTCAGGCACAGAAAATACTGTCTGATCCTACCTTCTTTCTTCACTCTGAGTTTCAGCTTTTCCCCTCTGGGTGAAGATTCAGGGTCCCTCAGACCCGGCTGAACAGTTACAAACATTCATTTGTGCCAATGTCCGTTAATATTCTGAATGACAGGTAATGTAGGATGTGCCCAGGGTCCGTGCAATATGACAAATGTTACTGCTGCAAGAAGGTGTTTTTATGTATATGGAATTGTTACATGAAATGCTTTATGTTTTGTATGATCTATATTTATGTATGTTCACTCTCTTGTAACTGCAGGACAGAGTCCAAAAATGATTTCCCTTTGGGGAAGATAAAGTAAATCTTGATCTTGATATCTTGATCTTGAAGTCGGCCCCTGCTGGCCATTACAAAGAATGCATGTCTAATGCACCTCCATGTTGGCTTATTTTGGGGTTTTTAGAATATGCCAACTATTTTCTGCAGACTAAAGTTATCAAGTTGGCTTTATGTTATCTCAAACTACAAACAGTCCTTGACTATTTTTTTCTCCTTTCTCTCAGACCAACACTTTGTGGATAAATATAAACTCCAGCTCACCGACAAAGTGAGCCACATGGATCCCATTCTGGATCGGCTCCTCGATAGAGGTGTCCTCCAGCGTGAGGCTTACGATACAATCAGAGCTCTGCCGACCTCTCAGAAGAAGATGAGAGAGCTCTACTGCGGTTGCCTGCAAGCTGGTGCTGCTAGCAAAGATATCTTCTACCAAATCCTTCTGGAAAATGAGAAATTTCTCATTGACGACCTCAATACAAAGCACTAAATGTTGGGGTGAAATCTTTTTTAGACCAAAACCAGTTTTTAATACATGAATAATTGGGAAATATTCATTGCAATGTTATGTCTCTATGTGGGTTTCCTATTTGACTTTTGACCAGATTCAGCAAATATGATGATCATGCAAAAATAATGAACACAATTTATAATTGAAGAGCTCTCCTTTTTGAACCTCATTAATTGATGTGAATTAAAACCGAATTATATGAATTCTGCCAAATGCTAAAAGATTGTTTTTCCAAGTCTTTTTTTAAATACATTTTCATAAACACCATAATATCATAACACAGTCGGGGAATAGAGTACAGAGCTGAAATGTACCGTTGACTCGTCTCTACCTCATGAAAAGCTGGTGCCAGTTTCGCTAAGCCAGTCAGATGTGTGTTTCTTGCAAAGGGTGCACACCGTTCTGAATGTTTTACTCGATGTTCCCGGCATGTATATCTATTAACCCCATGAGTTTGGTGACGATACGTTGGGTCGTTATGATTTTATGAATTATCAAAGTTAAATGACCATGTAATAATCCTAACTCGGCCTACGAAGCTGCTGATCAGTGTAGCTCCCAATCAACAGCGGGAACTAAAGACTCGCTGAAAGTTTGGTGGGATTCGGACCATGCTACGTCATGATATTAATTATAACTTTTTTACCCTACAAGGATACTGTTACATTTGGATGGTGTTTAAAAATGTCTGCTTCATTGAAACGTTTTCTAATCTTTAATAAAACATTCAAATTTGTATGTGTGGTTTTAATATGTTGAGTGTGAAGTCTCTTTAAAATTGTAAAGTAAATACAGTGATGTAGAATTCACTCCTGTTTCGACCTTTACCTACAAGTAAAAAAAAAATATATATTTTCATCTAAATATTGATTGTTTCCGTATCTCTTCAGAGAAGTTCAAGTCCTTACAGTCATTGTTGTAAAGTTGGATGTTGTAAGAAAGAAAATATTCAAATTTTAACTTTTTCAAATACAGTTTTAAAACTACAAACATGTATACAGTGGTATGTACACCAACTATGAATAACAAGATGTATTCGTTCATTCATGTGATGTAAGAGTGTACTGCACACGCATCTATCTTTCACATTTTTAACATCTGTTATTTGTTTATAAGCGATCAGTAAACTGGAGGTTGGTTTTGAGGAGCAAAGGGGCTTTGTTAGATAAATAGAGACAAAGAAACACGTTTTACATTAATCATTATTTACATTAATAAAGTTTCATATAAGATCATTAATGATCTTCGTGTTTGGAAAAATGTTATGTGTTCTGATTTCCCTATAATTCAGAACCTAATAAATCATTTTTAGTGTTCCTAGGACATTTTAAAGTATTTGTGTTTATAAAATACAGAGTTCATTATCGGATTATCAGTTAAAAAAAAAAAAAAAAAGC